TGGGAGGGGAGCTGTTGCATTGTGGTAAACTGTGGTCAATGTCATGAGACAAAGTATATGTAAACTGGTGTATGGAAAATGAATTTGCTCTGTAAATCTTCACCCAAATCACTGAATGAATGAATGAATGAATAAAGCACACACACACACAAAACTAAGTATTTTGAAAACTGGCATTTTTGAGGGTTTCTAAAATCTGTGAATAGATAAGAAGTTGTAATTGAGTAATTTTAAACTTTTCTCCTCCAAATTACAACTGTAGCCCTTTTTCAAAATTAGGCACAGATCTCTCATCACTGACTGCTAGTGTTATTTAATGCCTTATTATATTTCATGTCTTCATGTGCGTCCTTATGCCTGGAACTCTTTCTTGTGACTGCTCCATAAACATCTCATCTTTCATGATTTCATCCCAGTGTAACCAATAAGTTTGTGAGGCTGTTTTGCTAAATGGGAAGAATTACTTTGTTACCACACCTATAAAAATGTCTAATAAAGCACATATATGTTGTTGTTGTTGTTACCTGCTGTAGAGTTGGCCCCAACTCATAGCGACCCCTCCTTGGGTTTCCGAGGCAGTATCACTACGGAAATAGATTGCCCAACCTTCCTTCCGAAAAGCACATATATATTATTTATTTATGTCTTGAGGAGACTACTAACAAGTTGGGAACAAGAGTCATATTTGTCTTTTATAATCTTGGTGTCTGTTATAGAACCTTATAAAATGTAATCAAATTTTTTATTGAATATTTGAACAGATAAGGTAGATAGACAGGAAGAAAAGGTTTTATAATTTGAAGAGTAAGATACAATCAAGAGAAGATTTCTACTATCAAGAAGAAAGAAGTTTAAAAAATCTCAGTGTTTTTTTCTGTGTTTCGTCCTGAGTTAATGGACATGCTTAGTTTTAAACACTCACATACAAATATATGAGCCAGTCATCAATTATATCATTTATAGACCTTTTAAAGTATTCATGATTACTCACATAAATCTGAGCCTTGTATTTGACAAGGCAGTTGGCACCAGCCTCAGGATTAAACTTAATTTCAAAGTCATAACCTTTGGAATTCTCAGCACCCTTAGGGATAAGTTTTAATTTTCTTGCCAACTTGTGATATTCTGCTAATTGTGCTTCAATCTGTAAAGGGAGAACAATAGGAAACAAAAAGAAATGTTACAAAAAAGTCCAATTCTATCCATTTTTCAATTGACATTTCTGCAATTTTATGCTGAAAGATGTAATGGCTCCTTTAATCTACTTAAGAAGTGCTTTTCAATTACATCTATTTTTCAGTAGTTCGTTGTTGTTGTTATTTGCCGTCAAGTCGGACTCGACTCACAGCGACCCCTCCTTCTGTTTCCAAGGCAGTAACACTACGGAAGTAGATTGCCCCATCTTCCTTCCGAGGAGTGGCTGGTGGGTTTGAACTGCCAGCCTTCTGGTTAGCAGTCAA